AGCAAATGAGTGCTAATAAATCTTATTTTGGCAGTTTGCATACACAGAAAAATCCACGAAAAGTGAAGTCATTTAAGGGAAAAAAAAACTTTACACATTCTTGAGTGAAATGACTTGTGTCTGCTCTCATTAACAATAGAGATGGTATTTTTCTAACTTTTTCACCATCTTTTGAGAAAACTAAGTCATAAATCAAGAAATTCCAGTACAGATGAAAAATATGTGGAAACAGAACAAATGGGGGAATTATGGTGTCAATTAGCTATGGGGTCAATTAAATGTAATAGATGTGTAAATTGCAGTGATGTACTTTTATAAACTAGTATATGCTATAAAGTATTCATTGAGTGACTATCTAGGAAATGCTGGCTAAGGTTAGGAACTCTATTATTTTTCCATAGTCTTAGCTCTGTAACTTAAGCCAATTGATGAATAAGCACAAGTTACTAAAACAAGGACTTCAAAGATATTTCTTTCTGTCTGTACTAATATTCCCTTGAGTCGCAAAGTGCTGTCTACTGGCCATTGGATTTTATGAGCAGAGGCAGTGCCATGAATTGGTAAGAATATTGGACCAGGTATAAAAGGACATGGTTTCTATTTCTCATGTGTTACTAATTAGCTGGACAACCTTGAACAAGTCATACCCATTCCTCTTGATTCTGTTTTGTTCTCTCTGTGAACTGATCAGATTGGTTAAAATGCCCTCCTAGATCCATTCCGGAGCTAAATGATCGTAAACACTTAAGGTCAAAATATTTTTTAAAGGTTCTTTAAGATTGCAATGATCACTTGAAAGTTCAGAGGAAAGTGCTCTTTGGTTCATGGTGCCAAAGAATTTTTAAGTCAGCATCTATTTATCTACATCTGATACATAAATAAAATTGAAAGTAAAAATGTGAATATATGTATTACTCAAAAGTTCATTCTATGCAGAAATTAAAATCTATGCTCAAGTCAACAAATATATTCAACATGAATGCTGTACTTCAAAGGACAGAATTTCTTAATAATTAACTGTCCAATACCATATGCTTTCTGTGAATTCAAATTAAGGGATGATACTGTCCAATGTTTTATTGTCTCTCTTAACACAAATTAATGAGTTGGCCTTACCATTTGAATTTGGATTCAGAACATAGCTTTCTGGGCGATCCCTTATGTAGCTGGCTCTACATGTTTATTGCATACCATTTTGAAAAGCTGCCATGCATTCTATACTTGGGGAATTTAGAAATGGATTTTAATCAGGACAAATCGGTGCACTTCTGTCTACAGAAAATGAAAAGACCTGTACAGTACTCTGCATTATGTTGTTGGTTGCTTATGGTTATGTAGCCTGATCAAGGACACAGGAGAGCAAAATGTTGGTCAAATTTCATTCTATCCATGGCTCTGCCACATGTTGCAGTCCACTCTTTTGGAAGCTCTGGGTGAAGGCAGGAATTTCCAAGTTGTGTGACATGTATCTGTCTCTCATGGAACTTGAGTTGATATAAGTGTTTAGGATCCAAAAATCAGATAATAAGAAAGTTCTTTTTTTTTTTAATTTCTTTCTCAAATATTGTTTTTCCCAGAAGGAAAAAAAGACTTTGTCTGGTGCTCATGGGCTTCTGATACCTCTTTTAATTACAAATCTCATTTGTTACTTAGAAAGAGTCAACCACTGGGGTAAAAACCTTTTGCAAACAAACATCATAGATATGATTTAATAACATTGGTTTGTTCCCTATTTTTACAGTAATCTGTTTATGCCAAGTTATGATACCCACATAAACTTATCTTTTGAAATAAATTTATTTATGCCCAAAGGTATGTTGAGTTAAAAACACACACACACACACACACACACACACACACACACACACACACAAACTTTTATGTAAATAATAGCACAAGGTTGGCAGAATGTTCTAAAATGATATGCAAATGAATGAAGCTTGGGAAACATTGGGCTGGTGGAAAGCACACTGAGTGGCAGATGGGAAACTTGGTTGTTAAATCTGGTTCTAACTTTGTCACTAATTATTGGATTGTCCTTGGACAAAATGATGAGTCTCTCATGCTATTTTCTCATCGCCCAATAAATACAATGATAGTTTCCCAGCTACATTTAGAGTAACAATGTGAAGATTAAAAATAAATGCTGGGTATGTGCATGAGGTTCTTTATTACGAACCTGAATGACCACATTTTTTAAAATACATTTTTTTAATTGATTTCGGGAGAGAGAGAAATATAAATGATAAGAGAATCATTGATTGGTTGTCTCCTGCACATCCCCTACTGGGGATTGAGCCAACAACCTGGGCATGTGCCTTGACTGGATTCCATGGAACCCAGGACTCTTTAGTCCCTAGGCTGACACTCTATCCACTGAGAAAAACACGTTAGGGCTAAACCACTACTTTTTCTTTTTTTCTTTTTCTTTTTTTTCACCATCTCAGCAAAAACACACACCACAAAACAAACCATGGTCGTTATAATTTAGGAAAGGAGGGAAGGATAATATTATCTCTCTTTTCTTTCTATGATCATGCCACTTTGTGTGTGTGTGTGTATGTGTGTGTGTGTGTGTGTGTGTGTGTGTGTGTGTGTGTGTAGAGAGAGAGAGAGTTACACTATTGCTAAATACGTTGTACTGTCTTTTTCTGATTGATTATATGTTTATTTTTACTATTTTCTGTGGTGGTAAATAAATATTTGAAAACTAACCTATGTTTAAAAATGAACCTATGATCTGCCAGTGTGGTTCAGTTGTTGATTTATGAAACAGGTCACAGTTAGGACACATGCCTGGGTAGTGAGCCAGATCCCTCATAGGGGATGTGCAAGAAACAGTCAACACATGATTTTCTCTCATCATTTATATTTTTCTCTCCATCTCCCTTCTTCTCTGAAATCAATAAAAATATTTATTAAAATAAATTAAAATAAAAACTGAACATAATCATAGATCTTATTAATCTTAAAGCTAACTAAAAATATCATGGCCTATCTAAATATTTAAAGCTTTTTAAAAATAGTGGATTTTAGTTTCATACCAGAATTATTATTTGATCTTAAATAATATTTGGAATCTTGTGTGTTGTGTTTTTTCATTGTGCATAAAATATCAAATTTTATACATTACCATATTTCCTGCAACATATGATACCAAGTCTTTACAAAAGATATTTTACTATTACATAATGTCATTTCCTATAAACTTTAGGATTTCTATTTTCCTATTTAATCTCACTTATTCTTGAAGTTAAGGCTGTTTTAGTTAAAGTATAATGGTTCAATTATATAACTGATATATTTTAATATTAATAATTAATTATGTCAGGTTATTCTGAGTCATACATACAACTAAGTTCCAATTTATTAATTCATTATGTGAAAGAGAACATTCATGTACATAGAAATAATCCTAGAAGTTGTTTGGTTTCCCATTCTATTAAGCAAAACTTACTTAAGCATGATTGTTGCTGGATTTGAAAATGATAGGCATCACAATTCATTTGCATATTAATATTCATGGATGGTCTATAGCAGTGATTCCCAAACTTGAGCAGTCATCAAAATCACCTGAAAGACTTTTCAAAGGGCAGACCACTTAGCTCACCCTCAAGTTTCCGATTTAGTAGTTCTGGGTGGGGCCTGGGAGCTTGCACTTCTGGCAAGTCCTGCATTGATACTGAAGCTAATGATGCTATTCTGTGATTATGCATTTTTCCTTCTTGGTCTGGTACAAGGCAGTACAGCAGGACAGTGAAGCTCAAGAACTTTAGCGATACCCCCAGATTTCAGCCCTGGCTTTGGTAATTACTAGCTGTGTAACTTGGACAAGGTAGGGATCAGTTTTGTAAAAACACTAACAATTGCCTGGCCGATGTTGCTCAGTGGTTGGGCATCAAACTATGAACAAGGAGGTCACGATTTGATTCCCCATCAGGGCCACAGGCCAGAGTTGTGGGCTCAATCCAGTATGGGGCATGTACAAAGCAGCCAATCAATGATTCTCTCTCATCATTGATGTTTCCCTTTCTCTCTCCCTCTCCCTTTCTCTCTTCCTCTCTCCTTCCTCTCTGAAATGAATGAAAATATATTTTTAAAATAGTAACAATTTGAGAATTTTAAAAAATACACTTTTATTGATTTCAGAGAGGAAGGGAGAGAGAGAGAGAGAGAGAGAGAGAGAGAGAGAGAGAGAGAGAGAGGAAAAACCTCAATGATAAGAGAGAATCATTAATCAGCTGCCTCCTGAATGCCCCCTACTGGGGATCGAGCCTGCAACCCGGGCATGTGCCCTTAACCAGAATCAAACCTGGGACCTTTCAGACCACAGGCAGACACTCTATCCTCTGAGCCAAACCAGCTAGGGCAATATTGAGGATATGAAATAATGCATATTAAGAGTTGAAAACAATGCCTAGCACATTATTAGCACTTTGTAAATGCAACTAGAAGTGAGTGGTAACAGTAAAAGTAAATCCTATATAATAAAAGGCTAATATGCAAATTGCCCCTCTGGTGGGAGTTCTACCTACTGGGAGTTTGACCACCCGCTATAACGTGCCACCACCAAGGGGCAGCGTGAAACGATGCAACCAGGGGAAGGAAGGCCCTGGCCAGCAGTTGGAAGGACCCAATTGGCCCTGATGGCATGTCAGGCCTGGGGATCATCCAGTGCATGAATTTCATGCACTGGGACTCTAGTAGTAGTAATAAAAAAGAATTTATTTATTTACCTGAGTTCAATTGCAATAAAAGTTCATTAGTCTTTTCTAAGGAAGGCTGGGCAGAAAAGTTGCTTTTCATTGATGATATTTTTCTATAAGAAACATTCTTGCAAGAAGGGAATTCAGTGAAGAAAAGCAATTCCCTTAGTGAAAGAAATTTCAAGACCATGCTGAAGTAGAGCCCAGTTACAGTTTAATCAAAAGTTTATCCATTTGTGCAGTAATTTTCTCAATATTTAGAACTTACTGCATTTGTTTCTTTCCTTCCTTTAGCAACAAGAGCAAGACCCAACAAACCTATACATCTCAAATCTCCCCATTTCCATGGATGAGCAGGAACTTGAGAATATGCTGAAACCCTTTGGACACGTCATTTCTACAAGAATACTAAGAGATGCTAACGGAGTCAGCCGAGGCGTTGGCTTTGCCAGGTAAAACACTCGCTTTGTATATTATTTATCTTTCCTCACCATTTCCTCTTAATTCTGGGGCCTTTCTAGCACTAGGGCCCAACGAAATAGAAAATTTAAAATCAGTTTATCAAATTTATTCTGTGTATTTTTGCTTCAAGACAGAGAATCCCAATGTAATTATAAATTGGTTGTGCTTTCTAAAATATGTACATCAAATGTTTATTATATGTGTCTGGAGTCATAATGATATGTATACTGAGTTGCCAAGCATCTCTATGGCTATAGATCAACAAAATCAGATGCTGCCAATTTCTGTTAGGGATAATAAATGCCCTGTACCCCAAAGCTAAAGAGCCATGCGTGAACAAAGCATCCAGATGGTTCTGCATTGATTTCCAAAGAATGAGATGATAGCATTTCTCAGCCTGCAGAAGAGAGAAGAGAAGAAAGATATAGAGAAACAGGACTTGTTGGGAAGTCTGAAGAAACACAAAACTGAAAGAGGAGATCCAGAGGGCATCTGCATGTCAGAGGCCCTTGCCGTGTGATTTTTGATGTTTTACACAACTGAAAAATAGAAGAAAAAGCAGATGGCACTTTTTTCATTGACATCAAAGGAAGACGTTTTTACTTTAAGGGAATGTTTATAAAGGAGGGTCTTAGCCAGGAACAGAATTAAAATGGTTATACCTGCTGTGCCTTCATAAAAAACAAAGCTAAAGAAACCACAGAGAAAAAGAAACTGTTCAATAGCTCACAAGAAAAGGAAAAGCTGTGTCTCCATGGCTTGGTGTGAGCATGTCTCCCGCTGGCTTCCCGTGATGAATGGATGGATGTTGGTGTCATCTGAAAGTTAGTCCATTGTAGACAGGAGTGTCCACTGTGACAAACCCTATCATCATTTGGCAAACCATTTCAAATCAACTCCTGTTAAACCCATTTTGAAAGACAGCACATGACAGGAGTTTTATCTATCTACCTATCTATCTATCTACCTATCTATCTATCTATCTATCATCTATCTTATTGTTGAAAGTATTACAAATGTCCCCATTTTCTTTTTCCACTGACACTCCAGGCCTTCACCACACTATTGTCTGTGTCCATGGGCTATGACTATATGCCTATAAGTTCCCCAGTTAATGTCCCCCCACCCTTGTTGGCATCTCTCTGATGACTAGTGACGCTGAACATTTCTTCATTTATCTATTGGTAATGTCTATTCAAGTCCTTTGTCTATTTTTTTTTTAATGGTTTCTGTTCCTAGTGTTGAATTATATGAGTTCTTTTTATATTTTTGGAAATGAATTCCTTATCAGATGTATCATTGGCAAACATGGTCTTCCATACAGTGGGTTCCCATTTCTTTTTCTTTTTGTAATATGTTTTAATTGATTTCAGAGAGAGGAAGGGAGAAAGAGAGAGAGAGAGAAACATCAATGATGACAGATAATCATCAATTGGCTGCCTCCTATACAACCCCTACTGGGGATCTAGTCTGCAATCCAGGCATATGATTATCAGTTCATGGGTCACTCTTCAACCACTGACCCACACTGGCCAGGCAGTGAGTTCCCTTTTCATTTTGCTGATGGTTTCTTTTGTGTGCAGAAGCTTTTTAGTTTGATGTAGTCTCATTTGTTTATTTTTTTCCTTTGTTTCTCTTGTCCTAGGAGATGCATTGGTGAAAATACTGCTCTGTGAGAGATCTGAGATTTTGCTGCCTAGGTTTCTTCTAGGATTTTTATCATTTTGCAAGTTATATTTAAGTATTTTATCCACCTTGATTTTATTTTTGTGTATGGTGTAAATTGGTGGTCTAGTTTCATTTATTTGCATGTACCTGTCCAGTTTTCCAAGCACAATTTATTGAAGAGACTATCTCTACTTCATTGTCTGCTGTTGCCTTCTTTATCAAATATTAATTGACCATAATGGTATGGGTTAATTTATGAGTTATCTGTTCTTTCCATTGGTCTGTGTGCCTTTCTTATGCTAATATCAGACAGTTTTGATTATAATGATCTTGTAGTATAGTTTGTTATCTGATATTATGATCCCTCCAACTTTGTTCATCTCTCTTGATATTGCTGAGGCTATTCGGGTCCTTTTTTGGTTCCATTTACATTTACATTTTTAGAATATTTGTTCTAAATCTGTGAAATATGCCATTGGTATTTTAATAGGGATTGCATTGAATTTATAGATTACTTTGGGTAGTATGGACAAATACCACATGATCTCACATACATGTGGAATCTAATGAACTAAATAAACTGACAAACAAAATATATCCAGAGGCATGGATGCATGGAACAGACTGACAGATCTCAGGAGGAGGACTGTGGGAGGACAGGAATAGCTTAATCAAGAAATATATATATGCATAGCCCATGGGCACATACAATAGTTTGGTGAAGGCCTGGGGTGGGATGGGTTGAGATAGAGATGGGTAAAATGGGGGACATTTTTTTTTTTTTTTAAAGAAAGATAGCAGCCTGGCTGGCATTGCTCAGTGGTTGAGGATCAACCTGTGAACCAGAAGGTCACGGTTTGATTCCAGGTAGGGGCACATGTCTGGGTTGTGGGCTCAATCCCCAATGTGGGCATGCAGGAGGCAGCCAATCGATCATTCTCTCTTGTCATCAATGTTTCTATCTCTCTCTCCCCACCCCTTTTCCAGAATCAATTTAAAAAATTTTTAAAAAGAAAGATAGCAGATTGTAATGTAAATATTAGTTGATTTCTGTCTTGACTTCCCAGAGGTCATGGACCATGCCTTTAAGTTCTTTATATGCCTCACAATGTTCTACACATAGTAGACCAGTAGATATATGCAAGGTACATGTTTGATGATTTTGAAGAGAACTGGGCAAAATGAGGAAAGTCTCCCAGACTTGAATGTATACATGAAACATCAGTTTTCAGAACACTGTTAACAGTTGATTTTCATGGTCAAAGCGGAAGTGGTGTGATTAGCTCTGCTTTGCCAATGTAGTCATTCTTGGGTAGTGCACAACCTGCAGTTGGAAGTCTGACCAGTGTGGGATTTCACTGTAATCACTCTTACGCTTCACACAGCAAGCACATTCCTTTGGTTCACCCCCACCTCTCGCACCCCAAAGAACTCTATTTGGAAAATTAATTTCTCCTTCCCTTGTAATCCTGCTGAGAAATGAACATCTTTTAAATCAACAAAACATATTTTCTAAGAATATCTATGGTGATTTTTTTTTAACAGAGGATTTTATTTATTTATTTATTATTATTTTTTTTTTTTGCATTAAGTATATTAGTTTGTTAGGGTTGCCAGGACAAAATACAAACAGACTGGGTGGCTTAGACAAAATATATTTTCTCACAATTCTAGAGGCCAGTCATCCAAAATAATGATGTCAGCAGGTCTGGTTTCCCCTCCTTGTTTTATAGTTGGCTTTCTTCTCCATGTCTTCTTCTGGCCTTCCCTTTTGTTTGAGTACTAATCTCTTAAGTAGAGATTGGGATAGGACCCCACCCATCTGACCTCATATTAATTTAAGGACAACTTTAAAGGCCGTGTCTCTAAATACAGTCACATCCTGAAAAGGGTGAGGATTTCATCATGGGAATCTGAGCATGGGACACAATTTAGCACATAACGTAAAGACCGGGCTGTTCATTTCTCTCATCTGTGTCTTCTCTGCACATGTTGAGTCTGCTTAAAATGAAGAATATGTTCCTTATGTGCGGAACCACGTGATGCACACTGTAAGGGGTAAAATTATAATCACAGCATGTGTTGTCATGAAATAGTAAAAATCCATAAATTTCTTTTTTCTCTTTTTGAAACTGAATAAGGATGGGAATTTCAAATTACTGTTATCTTCTCTGAATGTATCCTCTCAGTCCTTCAGTGCATTTTAATGCCACAAGAGAGATTCTTTAAAAATGCAAATCTGATCAAGTCAGAGGCCTGCTGATTTCCTTCCCATATGGTCTGAGTAACTGGATTCAGACCTCCGACATCATTATCCCTGACATCATTATTTCTGACATGGCTTATCTTCCCAGCCTGTCTTCCTGCCTCCCTCCCTAGACATAAGCTGCCCTTCTCCATTATTATATGTGACTCTTCCTCTAGTTTCTGCCTACTCACCCTTCAAATATAGGCTTACAAGTCTTTTCTTTAAAGAAAACTTCACTGATTTCCAGCTCTAGCCTTTAGACAAAGTTAAGTTCTCTTGTTATAGTTCTTGTCAAAGTTGTGTCTTGTGTGTTTTTTAATACATTTATCAGGATCATAACGAATTCACTATTTTATTTCTTCACCCATTTGGATGGTACATTTACTGAAGTAAAATTTTTTATTGTTGGATGGATAGATGGGGGAATGGTAGATTGCATAATTAATCTTTTTATGAAGGTTTTGAATGACTAAACCCCAAGTAATTTTTAAAACTTTGAACTCTAAATATGAATTATTGGTTGCATTTCAATACTGAAACTTAGGTCTCTGTACTCTAACTCGTGCGTTTTCCAGTTTCATAAAGTGGCATGTGGATTGTAAAGGAAATCTTAGGTTCAAAGCAAGCCAATGATTTCTCATGTCTGAGAAATCTCAAGAAAATCTGACTTGCCTCTCTTGTAAGAAGCCAGGAAGCTGAAACAAAATAAGTATTTCATTCTCCATTACCTTAGACCTGAAATTTTAAGAAGCAGGATCCCATGTGATTTACCAGTTTGATGGAATGAGAAAAGAATTTTGGCTATTGCATATGTAAATAGACCTGCCCAAATTCCTGCTTCCCCACAGTTTAATATGTGCTCTGCATTTTCTCAAACAATTGCAGCTACTACTTTAACTAACTTGATCATACATGAATTAACTCTTGCACACATTTCTGGCTTCTAAAATATTGTCTTTTTCCTCCTCAGCCTTTCTTATCAGGAGCTCACTTTCTGAAACACAAAACAAATACTTTGAGTCACTATTTTCTGAATTCTTCCAAAGATAGAACATAGCTATAGCTAGTCAGAGA